CATCAACAAAGTGAGAGTGGAGAAGGTGTTGAAGTGGTAAAGAACGAGGCTTGCGAGCATCCCGTACATGGAAATGGACAATATACTGAAAAGAAGATTCATTTGTTTGGGTCAGTGATGGTGCTTGTCTTTCAGACATTATAGAGGCAGGGGCATACAGTGCTGTAGGAAGCTCTTTTTGATTGGGAGGGGGGCCTAAAACCAAGGGCCAAATACCTAAGGAAATTTTTAAATGCCATTTCCTGGACTTTGGGGAAGATTTGACAGAATTCTGTTGGTGAGAAAACAGCGTTTTAGTATGCCGAAATTTACAATTTTATTAGCATTTTTGTATGTCGAAATTTACAATTTGCATACAATTTAGTAGTACGAAATGGGCGAAGGCGTATTTAATTATCTATATATTGGATAAGTTGCAGGAAAGTATGGGTAATATCTTCATTCTTTGCAGTTTGGCATGGATAATGTAGCTGCTTAAAATTAATCAATTGTCATTATTTTAAAGGTATATTATTTAAATAAGAAAAGAATGATTATTAGCAAATTATCGGGGCTACTCGTTTGCTACGGCCCTGGCATAGTGAGTCTATCATAATTGATAATGAGATCTAGCAGAGGGGTGCAGGCCCTACTTTTGCAGACAAAATGGGTGTGCTTTTATGTAGTTGGGGCATGGTTAATGCAGATCTGAAATTTAAATTTTTAAGTATGCCGATTACTGGCCGGGGGTGTATGCGTCCCCCTCACTATGCCCCCTCTCTCAACCATAACATTGTTCATTACGATGTTTGTGATGTTACTCTGTATGTCCAAACCGGACAAGCTTGAAAAATATGCCTGGCCACGGTGAGAATCGAACCTATGACTTTTGGAATACTAGCCCAATTGGAACCTTTGGAATATTCCCACCGACCTTTGGAATTTTTCCACTGTGGCCAGGCATATTTTTCAAGCTTGCCTGGTGTGGATATACACTCAGAGTAACATCACAAACACATTCACCTGAGTACATAACACAACACATTACTTCATTTTCAGACGATTGCCTTCATGGATTAAAGCTTGCATACCAAGAGTATTTTATGTAGAAGAAAAAGCATGGAATTTTTATCCCTACACAATTACTGGTAGGAAAAAGTTTGACCAAGAAAAGTTAAATCTTTAGTGGAATATTGCTTAATAAATTTGTCAACTTATTGCATTCTCTTTCCTTTTATGTAATGCTGCTTGTTGGGTCCTCAGACTACACAGTAAGTAATTAACTGATCCGAGTTAGCATTATTGATTAATCTTCATATTTGACAGAAACGGACACCAGAATTGAAATTCTCACGCTCGAATTAGTCTATACCAAAACGTCATGACGTTTGGACATTCGGCGCACAAGTTACTGCATTTTGAAACTTCGTTTTTCCTATATGCATAATTGACCGCATTCATTTATTGTGGCAGTGAAAATGTATATTTCATATTTCATTTTGCATATTTTGGGTTTGTGTGTGTGTCAGTTTGTATGTGTGTGTGTCTGTTAGCACGATAACATATTAGTACAAAAAAATATTGAACATGTTTAATAGTACGAAACTTTATGAGGCTAATAGTAATAGACCATGGACAAGTTGATTAAATTTTGGTTCAATTTGGACAAAAAGTGAATGAGAAATTGACAAGGGTGGGTAGTAGCGAAGTAGTTGTAGTTCGCTACTGTAGCGAACTACAATTTTCAAGTAGCCAGTAGTTTTTGACTACTTTTTTAAAACAGTAGCTGTAGTTACAGTGAACTACACTACGGCGAATCACTATTCGTACGGCGAATCGCTATTCGCTACTTTTTAAAATTGTTAGCAACTTGATAGAATAGCGTGATATTGAGACACGGTCTGCTTAAAATCAATACTCAATAGTCAATTTGCACTCCTGAACACTGTAGTGCTTACAAAATGTTGCTTTGTGTTTACTGTTGTCTTTTGCTACTCGTAAGTCGATTTGTTATAGGTTACATTACAGCCCGAGTTAATAGTAGATGCTCCAAATACAGTAAAACTAAAAAATATAGATTAGCGAAATAGCGAAATAGTTCGCTACATTTTTTAAGCAGTAGCTGTAGTCAGTAGCGAACTACCTTTCTTCAAAAGTAGCAGTAGTTGTAGCTGACTACATATTTTTGAAGTAGCTGTAGTTATAGCGAACTACAAAAATTTTGTAGTCAACCCACCTTTGGAAATTGACAAACATTTGTTTTGTTCTGCCGGGCAGAGAAAACTGTATGCGTAATTAGCCCACTGTATAATTTATGCATGATGCATCACATAATGATGTACATCATTGATGCAGACCCAAGTGCCCCTCCTGGGACTGGCTAAACGGAGAGTTATGAAGTGGAGAGTTATCTCGGAGAGTTATGATTTCGGAGAGTTATGTTCGAACCACGCCCACTTTTCCCAACGACCACACCCAATTTCTTAACTCTCCCGACGTTTCCTTGAACTAACATGAGGGAGTTATGTTTGACGTAATTCTCTCTTGTTAACATTATAAATATGTAAGAGAGTTATTTTTTATAACTCTCCGCGTTCATGATTGTGGCAATGAAGACAGTCAAGTCAGTTTTTTGAAAAAAACTTCCACATATTAGTAAATTTTTGCAAATTTACTTTTTTCTCAAGTGTCAGCTTTAACATTTCACGCTAGTAGAAACTAATAGTACTTTAGTACTTACGAAATTCATCTATATGTAAATGTTTATATAAATATACATGCTCACTTCGATTATCTAGCAAGACCAGCATTCAGATACATATTAGATAGAACCAGAAAATCTTTCCAATGTAATGCCCTATTGGCTGATCTGGGAAAGTATTTCCAAAACCTGAATTGCTGAAAGATCCAATATTCTTAATTTTCTTGCAGCTATGCTTGCCGTATTTACTGCCAAATACACGTCAATACATGCTTCTGGAGGTACTTTGACCCTTTTGATGCAAGTATCTCATTGTTTTGACCGAGTCAAGTTGTATTTCCTGTTTGGACGCACGCTATTGGCACGCTAGAAACTAAAATACCAAAATATAACGGAAAATCTGAAGAAACAAGCTTTACTAAGGTTTTCTCAAAAAACTGACTTAACGCTATTCATTGCCATAATCGTGAACGCGGGAGAGTTATAAAAAATGATAACTCTCTAACATCTTCATAATGTTAACGAGAGAGAGTTACGTCAAACAAAACTCTCTCATGTTAGTTCAAGGAAACGTCGGGAGAGTTAAGTAATTGGGTGTGGTCGTTGGGAAAAGTGGGCGTGGTTTGGACATAACTCTCCGAAATCATAACTCTCCGAGATAACTCTCCGGTTGGTAACTCTCCCTTTAGTCGTACCCCCAGCATAGTTAATCTCTACTGTAGTTACATGATACTATTAACCTTGCTCGTTAGATTTTTTAATCATGTGGCTTTCTTTCTATCGTAGTGTTCCTTCGTTCCACGGTTTTCTATTCACATTGAAACTGTGTACGAAAATAACAACGGATCTTCTCAAAATGTTAGTAGTTTAATTTCTTTCATCTATTCACGATTTATGAATATGTATTCTCACCTATGATTCTCACACTAAAGCCCTGGTCAAACATGGATGAGAGTTGATGAAAGTTGCAACTCTGAGCTGGTTCAAATTTTGATAAGAGATTTTGCTCTTTTGATCAATATCCAAGGCAGTCAACTCTCATGCAACTCTTGTTCTCGTTTGACCCGTGTCACGAGAGTTGAGAAAACTCTCATGTAAACTCTCGCTTCTCAACTCTCATGCAACTCTTGTTCTCGTTTGACCAGGGCATGAGAGTTGAGAAAACTAGCTCTTATGCAAACTCTCGCTTCTCAACTCTCATGCAACTCTTGTTCTCGTTTGACCAGGGCATGGGAGTTGAGAAAACTAGCTCTTGTGCAAACTCTCGCTTCTCAACTCTCAACTCTCATTCGTGTTTGACCAACACTGAATGATCATGCATCGTTTTGCTTTTTTAGCCTTTCAAATCAAGTTCGGAAACGCCCGAAGTTCACGATGTAGATTTTGTAGATATTGCTTACGATGAATATCCAGAAAAGCACTATGTGAAAGAGGAGGTATTTCAATATATACGTTGAAATTTTTGAAAGGTTTGACACAAGTAAAAATTAGCTTAAAAATTTTTGGTTTGACAGCAGAGAAATAACCACGTACTTAAGTTTGCTTTTCGTATAACCGTTTTCACGGCAGGCTACATTTAGTTGCCAAATCGGCTTTACGTGAAATTGGGAGTGGCTTTTTCAAACTATTTTTGCATTTTATAGGATTGTAGGTATTTTAAATCAAAGAAAACGAATAGAGGTCCGTTGGCAGAGGGCTGGAGGGTAAGTTACGTTAAGAAGATTATCTTACGTTAAGAAATATCGTGATTGATATTTTATGATGTGTTTAGGATTCGGCAAAACCCATCATGTGTTCGTATAAACTGGTCACTGTTTCTTTTGAAGTCTGGGGATTACAATCGAGAGTTGAAAGTTTCGTTCACAAAGTAAGTATAGGATGTGAATTGCGAAGATCGTTAAAATTGTCGACAGGATAATCGCTCTTGAAGATGCTCTTAGTGATGTTGGTAATTTAGAAAGACATTCACCTTGCATTTTGGCACAATTTTTTTTCTGAACTCGGATGGGTTATTTAACTGTTGTACTCTTTAAAGCGTGGTTCACATTAGCAATTCTGTTACTGAATGATGCAAATGCATGAGTGAACTCGCACACCGGTATAGAGTCGCTTTTCAGAAGTGAACAATTCTAAGTCGTAGTTGCATGTCATTCATTTCATCACATTTGCCAGGAGGAGAAAAATCGCCGAACAGAATTGCTAGTGTGAAACTGTGTGAACCATGCTTCAGTGAAATATATTATCCTATATATATTAATCTTTAGGGCATTCGAGATGTTCTCTTAGTTGGTCATCGGCAAGCATTTTCCTGGATTGATGAATGGTGGGGTAAGGGTAATGTTTCTTTTACACACAGCTAGTGTATGGCTTCCCTTTGGGAAGCTATTGGTCAAGATGCGATAATTCAAGATTATTAGTCGTACCTGACTGGTACTCCAATCATTATTGCCGCGTGCTTGCTCTAGTACAAACTCAGTACTCAATGTCTACTTCACAACTTAAAACTGATATTTCCTGCTCTCGCATAGATATGGAAATAAAAGACGTGCGAGAATTCGAGAAAGTTCAACACCAAGAGACGAATGAAAAAGTCGTTGGGGCTGGTCCCCAGGACAGCTCGGAATCCACGCCACCACTTGCTACTAGGCAACATTCGTCTCCAAACTAAATCATATTTTGGGTAGTAAAATAGTTTTATCAAATATTAACTCGAGAATTTTATATGCAGTGGTTTTAATAACACCACCATCTTATAAAGTTTTTAAATATTAAGTCGACTGCTATACCAATACTGGACGGCGTTGTTGTTCTAACTGAATATATTGTTATGGTCCTTCTTCTTTGCTGAATTCAATATGCGGTGAACTATACGTACGACGCCCGACTAAAAAAGCAGTCAATTTATGCTATAAACATTTTAAATGTATTTTTTCACGTTTAACTTGTGTGCGATTATAGTGTAATATTTGTAAATATATACTTTTACAAAATGACAATACATGATTTTATCTCATGTTCTTTATATCTTTTAACAAAACACTTTTTAAAACTCACAAATACTACTCAAATCACAGAATAGAAAATATAGTTTACTATTCAAATTACACAATAGAAAAGTTTTCTATATATTCTGTGCTCAAATAGACCAAACTAGGCAAACTTCACTATCGTTGATTAGGAATAGCAAGGAGTATTAGTAAAATGGGATATCGGATATGTGATGTAGTATCAAGGGATCAAAGAGGTTATTTAGGAATAATAAACGGTAATGGGTGTTAAAATGTGGTATTTGGGAATAGAAACGGTTAAAATGGGACGTTTGATGTATAAAACGAGTTATTTGGGAACAACATGGCTATTTGTGGATAGAAAGGAGTAAAATTGGGTGTATGATGGATTACAGGCAGTATTTTGGGCTAGCAAAGGGTTGTAGGTGTTACAAGATGGTATTTAGGAACAGAAAGGGTTAACTGAGTATCGAATGCAGTATCGATGGATAACCAGGGGTATTTAGGGAAAATAAAGGATAGTAGAGTGTTACATGATAGTACTTTGGGGTAGAAAGGAGTAGAATTGGGTATTGATGGTAAAATGAAGTACTTCATATAAGTTACATTAGAAATTGTTTTAAAAAACAAATGGTGGCCAAACTAGCCCGTTTCTGTCGAGTTTTTTATCGACGACGACCGTTAACTGTCGTTGTCTTTCTTCTATCTTGTTTCTCTTGCCTTTGGCTTTTTGGATTCGTCTACCAGACGACAGAACCAGTGGAATATCGTCATGTTCGCTTCGGTGAGCACAGCGAATGTACACACTACAAAAGTATGCCGAAAGTCTCAAATGGACGCAAAAAGTTGATATTATTTTATACAACCATCTTTGACCAATACGCAGTATTCTACCCAGACGAGTACCGATGTTGCGAGCCTTTTAACTGTGAAATTACGACAGATAAGAGCAGATTATTACAAAGCGATGCAGTTCTATTTCATGGGCGAGACCTTCCCAGGGGCAAACTTATGCCAAAACAAAGAACAGCTAAACAGCGTTGGATATTTTTCACACATGAAAGTCCTTATCATTCGAAAATCGTACCAAGCGAATATAATGGCATGTTCAACTGGACAATGACTTACGAAAGAAGAGCTGACATATATGAACCGTATGGTTATTACAAAAAAAACGTAGATGGAAAAGACTTAAAAGGTTTGTACGCCATATGGCCCATTTGGCCATTTCTTTCACTGGATACATTAAGCATTATCCAGTCGGGTGACTGCAAATTTCAGACCCCAATTTAAATGTTTATGTGTTGTCACACGAATGTCACACACAAAAAAATTATTTTCTGTCCTACCTACCCGATTTCAGGATATGAAACCGGAACGGGACGGCCAGGATATCTTTTGTAAGATGACCTTAGTGCACAGAAAGTATCTTGATGGAATGTAATTTTTATTACAATTTTACCATTATTATAAATTGAAATAATTGTCAAACTTTTTTTCTCTATTTTAGTAGAAGAACAAAGAAATTATGCAGAAGGAAAAGACAAGCTGTTGGTATCTGTTAATAGCCATTGTCAAACACCCGATAATGTGAGAGAGAATTTTGTGCGAGCTTTGAACAGAATCACTAAAGTGGATGTTCGTGGTAAATGTGGTGGTATATTCGGCAGGATTAGTTGTCCAAGATGGAGCGAAAGGTGTAAAATCACGCTAAAAAGCTACAAGTTTTATATATCACTTGAGAACAGCATTTGTAATGACTATGTGACTGAAAAATATTGGGATGTTCCATTTGATCATGACGTAGTTCCGATTGTTTTGGGTTTGAAATTTTTTAAGGAGTTGGCAATTCCAGGTTCATATATTGATGCCACTGCATTTCCAGATCTGAATAGCCTCGTTAAGTACTTGAAATATCTTGACGGGAATGATACGGCATATAACGAGTATTTTAAATGGAGGCAGTTTTATCACACAGCAAATTTAGAACCGTGGCCATGTCGTTTGTGCCGGATGCTACACGACGATTCGTTGCCTGCGAAAAGTTACAAACGTTTTGACCAGTTCCTCGATCCATATATGGTCTGTACAAAAGAGCTCAACAAATATGTTGCCAACTATTAGCATGTTAATTCCAAGCAATCGAAACCTTTTGATGAGTGAAATCGTCTGGTGTTAGATTTTATAGTAGGGCAGATTTATAGAGGTAGGGGAACATTAAAGCTAAATGATCATTAACAAGAGCAGATATTTGAGTCGGCACAAATTATAATGCCTAACAAATATATTTTTTGTCAAATGAAAAAAAAAAAAATTTTAAACTGATTTACTAAATGAAAATAAATATTGACTTGAACGTTCTGTGGCAACGCATCTAGTAAATATAACGCAACGCAGCTATGTAAAATAACTTAAATATAATTGCAACACACTTTATATTAATAATTACAATATACTTTATAATATTTAACAATTATTCACCGAAGGCGAGGTGATTTATCGGTGAATAAAAACTGAGACAAAGTCAAAAATAATTGTTTTAGTATAATTTCATAGGTGATTATTTGGAAAAAAATAAAAAGTACACATTTCTTCGTCATTATTTGATTGACAAAACAGCTTTGGCCGCCATTTTGAAAATCGCTTAGGTGATTATCGCATTATAATCACCTCAACGGCAACCAATCAGCGTGGAGAATTTTCAATAATCACCTATGTTATTATACTAAACAGTATTATTCCATTTTCAGATAATTTCCCACTCCATTACCGGTAACTTTGATACCATATAGACTTTATAGAGCCATTGAACCATTTAATAGAGCCACTGCTGCACAAGCCCGCGTTGCAGGCTAACACCCTGAAATTGGGCAGAATAAAAATTTTGACAAGAAAGTAAGAAACTTCAATGTTCAAATGAGTTTAAAAAAAGAAATTTTGTCCGTTTATCGTCACATTTTACGCATTGCAAGAAGCTGGAGAGCTAGTTCAGGTTGTGCTGAAGACACTTTAGTAGAAAGGAATTACATTGCAAATGAATGTAGAGAATTATTTCGACAAAATTCAAAGGTATTTTATGTTGTATAATTTTTGCACGTGGGTTGAATACTCCATGTGTGTTTATTTAAAAACTTAACTTTGGCAGCCTTTTCGCTTGAAATAACACTAAAAAGTTAAGAACTTGTACACTCAAATAACTTAACATTTAAAGTGAGTATTAACTTTGACTTTATTTATATGCCAGTTGACAGATAACCAAGAAATATCAAGATGTCTAGAAGAGGCAAAAACTAGGCTAGAACTAGGTATATAAGCTACTATTTGTTGTATACAATGTTTACCCAATATTCAGTATTGGACTTTATCAGTAGACAATCTGATTGGGTCATTCCAAAAATCACAAAAGAAATTGGAATTTAACCCCAGCCCCCAACCTTTGAGGTGGGGGGGGGGGGGTGAATAGGTTTTCGGATCGTCGGATTTCACAGGAAAAATCGTTCAGATTTCGGATCTGGCGAGTATTTTACACAGATTTGGGGATCCTTGATTGTGACTTCATAGTAGCGCTTTTAGCGGATTCAAATTTAGACAAGACCATTGTCGGATCGTGGATTTTGCTTCAAATTTGGGCGGATTTGTATACCCCTATTCACCCCTCCCCCCTTTGAAAATCCTAGTACAATTTTCTATTATCACATGTGTGCCCCCCCCCCCCTCTGGACAGCAGAAATTTTGCCGATAAGGGGGCCACACACCCTTGGTCATCAGCTTGGAAAATGTTAATATGGGATTCAATCTTTTCAGCTCTACATTATGGCAACCCATATCCAAGACCGGTAAGTAAATCTATTGGTTGGTTGATAGAAGGGTTCAAATTAATGGTGTGTAATTTGCACATCATAGACCTGAGATGCTTGGTTTGCAAGCGGTACAAAAAAGTATCGGCATTTGTATTCACACGAAGTCGCCAAACGCTCCGATTTCATCTCGCTCTGTTTAGAAACCATGCTCAAATTGTTACAGCAAAAATGACGTTTTAGTGTCAACATTGTCTTGATGTAATTTTAACTTTAATGCCAAGGTAAATCTTCCTCCAATGGCACTAGCTTCGCAAGGAAAAACGAAGTTGAAAGCACAACAGAGAGCAAGAAAACAAGCAAAACCAGTTTATTTACATTCACACAAGGAGCTGGAATAATTCAATGTAAGATACAAATATTATTGCATAATTATAATATTTAGTATTACATACAAGACATGCAAATCCGGGCTAGAAATGTGAAATTTTCACCACTATCCAACTTCACATCTGGTAATAATATCCACCCAGTTTGTAGTGTATTCAAACAATGAAACAAGGCAAAACAAGTGTTCAATTGTAATGATTTTGATAAATTTAAATATGGATCTAGGGTGGGTTTATAACAGAGAAGTCTCTATGGAGGATAGAAGACTGTTTAGTAGGGCCTCTTGATGAGCTATTGCTCCTGCGGCAAACCAGCCCTTCAGGTATCTGTTTGAAGTCGTGGCTAATAATATAAATTTGGGTATGGCCAATACTGCTTTGCTGTACTGAGGCTCCGGCTATTAATTGATGAGCGAATGCACAGAGTGGAAGGTCAAAGCTTCAAGGGTGCTGTGAGTTGAGTGGCGGGCAAATGCTTGCAAGCTTTGTCTATTTGGTATATTGTCCGAGTGCAACACCAGGCTAAAAATTTCAGCTTGTCATGACTGCAAGTACCAGTGAATTACACACAGCCTCTGGCGAATGGCTGTCAAATGGCTCTGGTGAATGCATGGCTGTGAAATTTGCCATTCGCTGGCCTAAAACAACATGGGTGGGGCAAACGCTGTGCAATAAATATGTTTAAATCAAAAAAGGTATAAATCATCTGGCATTAATTAATTTGCTATTGCCACATTCGGCACGTTTTGATGCAGCAGGTATGTTTTACAGAACTGTGATACAGTAATTCATAGTAAGACTGATAATTAAATATTTTACATATTTTAAATTAACTATTATATATTTAGTTTCTAAAGTGACAACATAAAAGTAATGTATTTCAGTTTACAAATGTAATTGTTAGTTGTAATCTGAGTTTACTAGGTAGAATTAGCCAGCACTGTTAGCCTGCTTTCTAGAGCATCTATTAATTGTTCACAATTGTCAGACACCTCAAATAAATTGGCATCGCAAGGGTTCAAAAATCCAACCTTTAAAGCATTCTGGTACTAAAGAAATGAAAGCAAAAGAATAAGCATTATATATGGTACACATAATAAAAAAAACTCATTGATAATTCATGAGGAAAACACAAAGGAAATCACTGCCATGTCTGTGGTTTTACATGTGATAATTAACAAATCATATTAATTTACATAAACTTTAGCTTTGATTTTCTTGGGTTAAATTGATAATTTATGATAAAGGTTGATAATATATGTCAAAGTTTAGAAATGTCAAAGTTTATGTCAAAGTTTAGAAATGTTTCGGGAGTCTTCATCTAACGTACCCATTCCAATATTCCTCCATAATAATTGAGAGTGTTTAGAATTCCAACAGGTTTAGTGTGAAGTTTCAATCTTGCCCTAAAGTGAACAATATTTTATGTTGAGTATCTACATATTTGGTGTTGTACTGGTCCACACCCACCCCCACCCAGAAATCCATCTCACCAGCATATCATTTCAACAATTTCCTCCAATGTCCCTATTCCACCAGGTAAGGCAATAAACGCATCAGCCTGAAAACACAGTTAACGATCATTCAATTGATTGAGCTGTGATATGTTTCCTAATACACATGCACTTTTCTCTATTTAACATTCATCAGACGATTTAACTTTTCAAGGCAGTGGGTGGACATTTTTTGAAATATTGGGAATTCGAATTAAGATTCCCAATATATTATACTACATTTTTGTTGCAGTAGATCTCCGTCCTTAAAACTATTTTGGCTTAAATTTAATGAAAATTTGCTTAACCTGCTCAAGACTCTCCCTTGAAGAGTAAATTCCTCTGGCATTAGAGTAAAGTAATAGGGCACATAATAATAATAGTAATAATAAAATCTTTATTTATACTGATAAAAAAGACCGTTCAGGCAATTACACAGATTGGCTGGTATCAATCGGTGATCAGTGTACATTTGGGTGCTTTGTGGCTTAATGGGTTAAAACAGCACAAAGTGTCTGCCCAAACTATCTGGTTATGCCTCTTGTTAAATTGCACCTTTTCACAAAACATCTTTTTCCTTGCGTGCATATCTTCAACAGTGATAGTGTCACCAATTAGAGTGCTTTCAGGATCTCTTTCTGTGAACAGAATACTATTAAATAATCATGTATTTTATTTATATATTTTATTTTATTTATTTATTTATTTTATTAATTTAATAACCCATGGCTACTGTAAGGCTTTTTAGGCCTTCATCTGGATGGTATGGATTTGTTTGATTACTTATAAAAATCTCAACTTGTCAACAAGATGTGTTCTCGACAGGCTTGTAGCAAGCTTGTCAACAAGTGGTAACAATGCTGTTATTTTATCAAGTTGCTACAAGGTTGTCACTTGCAACTTGTTGACAAATTGATGAATTGCAGAATGCTAATCTGTTAAGCTCAACAAACTTGTAGCAAGTTGTCAACAAGCCGTTGGCAACTTGTCAACAAGCTGGGAACAAGCAGTGCGAACACATCCTGTTGACAAGTTATTGGAACGGCATTGCTACATGTCTGCTGCAGGTTTGTCACAACTTGTGCATTTTTACCTGTGTAATAGACTTGCATAGGATTAAATTCTATTAACAAACCTAGAAAAAATTTCGGAACAATTCCCTGCACATTTCCACCACCTTCATGAACGGTCTTGGCAATAACTCCCATGATGCCCCATGAGCCTCCACCATATATCAAGGAGATATTACGTTTCAGTAACGACTTGCCAAGCTCTATATATAGTTGCACTTATTAACCCATTGAGCGTCAATGCAAAAGACTAGTAGTAAAATTGTCTGGCATTGGAAAGAGTAAAATTGTAAAGTATGGTATATACTATATCAAGGCACATTGTCACTCTAAGTACAGGGATATACTAATTATAGTAATACTTGTATCATTGTCCACAATAGTGATGGGCGATTACCGATTACTTGGTATCGATACCACCCGATACCAGGCCCAAACAGGAAGTAGTCGATACTGCACGGTATCGAAAAAGTGTTTCGATTACTTTTAAAATTAGACATTCATTATAATCCTGTAGTTGTGTCATCGTTTTCTTGGTTATTTCTAATAAAATTTATGTACTTTTTGGTATTTTGCTGCATTTAACAATTTAATCAAACTTCCTTTATACTTTATTTGACATTCTATTCTTGCCGACAGAATAAATTATGAAAAAGGCGGGAAATAAAGTAATTTTTATTTTTTATGGATTGAAATGGCGGATCAAATCGTTACTGTTAGAAAAATGTAATTTTTTGAAAATTGGAGGAAGTAATCGTTTGGGTAATCGATACCTCGATACTTTAACCAAAAAGTAATCGGTATCGTATCTAAACCGATACTGGTGGTATCGCCCATCACTAGTCCACAATATAGGGGTTACGGGTACGAAATAACCAATATGGTCACAGAATAGAAACCATACAGAAAGCCGACTCAGTCAAAAAATGTAACCGCTGCAATGCCATGATTAACAATGATTTGTCATCAAAATATACTTGTCATGGTCCTAGCCAGTGAGCTCAAAAGAGGCTTTCACCCCCCCCCCCCTCCCGAATGTCTGCCATTTTGAATAATTTCAGGAGGGTGAATGTCTCTCATAAGTGGTGAACACTTTTTTCCATCCAGCAAACCGCCCTATCGATTTTGTAAAGTCGTTTCTTTTTGGATTTTTTCATTAATTCGGTTAGGGTTGAGGTTAGGGTTAGGGTAGGGGTAGGGTTTGGGTTAGTTACATAGCCATTTAACACCTGCGAAAATGACGCCAGGTCAGTTTGCTGGATGGAAAATAGTGCTAACCCTCATAAGTAGGGTCATGGCAACAGCATTGCAATGGTTATGATACCTTGTGCTGCTTTAACAAATGCTTCATTATTTCCTAAGCTTGAACCACAATACACAACAACAGTATGCAAAGCTGGTTTATCTGCTGTAGAGCACATGATGATCTATTTGAAAATCCTAGAAATTTACATGTAAAGTCAAGTGTTGTTTTTCATCCACGTCACAGAAGAGATAAGGGCAGAAGGTTCACTCAAGGGTAAAAAGTGTGCCAGAATGTGAGCCGACTTCCGGTGTGGCCGCCATGTTGAAAGCAACCAAACCAGAGGAAATTTTATAGGAGTTAATATGGCGGAATACGAAATAGAG